CCCGAAGCTGTATTCTACATTCGTCTGCCGCGCGATCCGCTAAATATTTTTATTATTTTCCATCATTAAGCACTGAAAAGTATGATTGGATTCAAAATCCTTTTGCAAATGTTCCTTCTAATATTGGACTTCAGTTATATGAAAAGAAGAATTGGCCACCATTTCTAGTAATCGAAGCCTCAAAATAAAACATTCAACGGTATCCATTGATACATTTTGGATTTCAATGCAAAAAGAATATACGACATTAGCTAAAAATGTCTTATCAGTTTTATTGCAATTTTCTACTCCTTATTTATGTGAATGAGGCTTCTCAACTCAACATCAAAAGTAAGAAGCCAGAAAGAAAAAATGAGGGTCTGCTTATCGCACATTCGACTAAACATGGAAGAAATCACGAAAAAAAAAAAAAAAAAAAAAAGCACACCAGGCACAAATAGTTGAATAGAAACATCGAAATAAAGTATTTGTGTGTGTATATTTTTAAAAAATCTATGGTTTTATTTCATAACATTTAAATGGATACCTTTAAAAATTTTGCTAAGTGGGCCATGATATTTTCATTTGCTCATAGGTGTACCTTTGCTGAGAAACACTAGTCTAATGTAAATGACTAAAAAATGAATAAGTATTCATTTTTTTTTAATTAGAATTACTCTTCTCAACCCTAAATAACATCAAAAATAAGAAGCAAGGAAGACTACACTCAACTGAAGAGGAAATAAGTGTCGGCACACATTTGACCAAACATTGAAGAAATCACAAAAGAAAAAAAAAACAACAAACATACATTTCACACTAAATAAGCTGCACAAATAATTGAATAGAAACATTGAAATAAAGTAAAGTTCATATTTGGTGTGTGTATTTTTTGAAAATCTATGGTTTTATGACATAACATTTGAATGTATACCGTTTAAAAATTTTGCTAAGTGTGCCATGATATTTTCATTTGGTTCTAGGTGTGCCTTTGCTTAAAAAGGTTGAGAAACATTGCATTTAACCATTGATGATAACAAAAATGGAAGCAATGACGTTTTTAATGATGATAGACACAGAAATAAAACTGCAGGATCTCTGAGAAAAGGTAGTAAAGAAAAATGGGAAGAAGGGTTAGGGTTAGGCAGCATCAATTCTAAGAATCCAGAATGTATGGTTGTCAGTGAGAGGAAGAGACCAAGATGTAAGCGATAAACTCTGGGTATGTCAAAATCAAGCAAGTACAAAAAATCAAATATCTGGCTGGCGGTTCAACAGATGATGGAAAACCTGACACCGAAATTCGAAGATGAGACTTGGGGTGATAGAGATGTGGTTCTACAGAAGGATGCTGGGAATACCATGAACGGAATATGTGAGCAACAAGGAAGTTTTAAGGAAAATGAAAACCAAAAAGGATACTTATACTTAGAAACAAAGACAGATAGGGATACATAATGCCAAATGAAGGGTTAGAGGATTTGACACTTACATGCAGGGTCGGATTAGGACCTTTTAGGGCCACTAGGCTAATGAAATTATGCCCCCACCATTAGACAGAACCAACCTCTAACTCCCCCGCACTGGTCTTGAATATTTTTATTTATGATATAATTTAGTGACTCTTATATAACATTTCAAATTCTTTGATTAAACTGGAACAATTATCTTCTGTTTGACAATAAAATATTCTTTAAAAAATACCAATATCTTACTATTTATTGCAAACCAAATTAGCAAATATTTCAACACAACTTTAGTAAAACAAGAATTAAAAAAAATATATATTTATAACCTCCTGATCTGAGGCCTTGCTGTTGGACGTAGTTTATCGTCATACCCAGGACGCGGATGTAGTTTATCGTCATACCCAGGACGCGGATGTAGTTTACTGTCTTACCTAGGACGCGGATGTAGTTCATCGTTATACCCAGGACGCGGATGTAGTTTATCGTCATACCCAGGAAGCGGATGTAGTTTACTGTCTTACCCAGGACGCGGATGTAGTTTATCGTCATACCCAGAATGCGGATGTAGTTTATCGTCATACCCAGGACGCGGATGTAGTTTATCGTTATACGCAGGACGCGGATGCAGTTTATCGTCATACCAAGGACGCGGATAATTCGGATCTGCTTAGCTAGTCCTGGGTATGACGGTAAACCACATCCGGCAGCAAGGCATCTGATCAGGAGACTGGGGGTTTTGAGGATGTTCCCAGATTCACCCTGACATTAATTACTGTTGTACCCAGGTTCCCCCTGACTCGTAGTGATAGCACCTGTTAGGGTCCTAGCTATGGGCAAATGGAGACCCACTCCTAATCCCTGTTCTGCAAACCATGTGCACAAGCTCGTTAAATAGGTTATTCGCTGCTTTCTTGTCACTCTTGCCTTCACTATATCCTGTTGGCTGGCTTATTTTGTTTAGCAGCATTCTACATTCTATATTCTATATCTGGGAAACATATATTCCAAAAGGGAAGCGGCACCACGGACCTGTAAGCTGATAGGGAGGCAGATTTAGCTTCAACCCAAGCCATAGGTAGCCCTGGCTAAAAAAAAGGAAACTTCTTGTTTGTCTGCTGTAAACGAACTGAATTTGACTGCCACTGTCGTCACTGCATGAAGTGACATCACTAAGCGTCTGTCAGGTGAACAACATTTCGACATACTTTCGCAAAAACTTGTTTTTGGGAGTGGAAACGTTGAAAATAAAAGTTTAAATATTTTCTGTTAATTCACCCCAAATTAAAAAGAATTATGTTTATTAAAATTCACTGCAAAATTTTGAATCTTCTTTTAAACTTTGTTTATAAAATGCATTATTTTTTTGCCTTACGTCTCCAAAGAAACTCACATAAATAAGAAGAGTTTGTCATGCTGCAATGAGTCCTGAACATGGACTTATTCTTCATTTTAGCATACCACTAATTGTTTTGCGTGTTGGCTGATATTTCTGGGCCAACGGAATTCATACTGTGATTTACAATTTGATGAATATAATTGGGATCCTCCTTCAAAGATGTATATCCTTTCCAACAATCCGACATAATCGTAGGCCCAGGTAAAATACAGCTTCGGATTGTGCCAAGGTAATGGGGAGGCTGTTCTATCTGGAAACTTCATGACAAACTAAACAAACTTTAATTTAAAATTTATAATTACAAAAGAGTACCAACATTCAATAAAAAGACACAAATTTTGATTTAGAATTTATCATTTTTGTGGATGAATTAATATTTGCGATCAATACATCTATATATTTGTTGTGGTAGGATCCACCTAATTTGCATAGTGGAGTACCGCCCATATAAATATGGTTGGTACCGGGAAGAGAGGGAGGAATCAAGAGATTCACTCTCAGTCGAACTCTCTGCATTTTGCAGTGAGGGACCCGGACGAGGCTTTGCCGAGAGACAGGGTTTCGTCCGGGGTGGTAGACAGGCCTTGAACCAATCTAGGCGGGTTCAGAAAGGCCGTATTTTTGTCCGAGCCTACGGGCTCGGAGATACCCACTTAAACCGGCCTTGTGCCACATTTTATCCTCGTGGGTGGATAGATAAATACAGGAATCAAGAGTTCAACCAGAGACTCTGCCCGACTGCGACTCAGTCAACACATTCTCTAGGAACGGTCTTATCAGGAATATACAAAAGACTATATGTAAATATTGTGTACACTTTCTTGTTTCAATACATTTAGTTCTAACATTCCATGCATTAGTCAAGTTTCAACAATATTATATACCTATATGTTTACCATTCGTCCATGCATAGAATATTGCTGCTGCATATGGATCCGGTGTCACTGCTATTTAACTTGATAAAATCCAAAGAAGAATTAGCAATATTGTTGGACCTGATCTGGGTGATCAATTTTAGTCATTTTCCCGCCGCCATAATGTTGCCTATCTGTCTTTTCTATAAATTCTTTCATGATAATTTTTCGGGTGAGCGCTTCGCTATGGTTCCCAGGCTTTTTGAATTTAAGCGCTAGTATTAGACTGGCATCTAGTTCTCATCAATTTTTAATTGCGCTAGTAACCGTAAGTTCTATGCTAACAGTTTCTTCTCTCGCACTTCTCGCTTGTGGAACTCCCTTCCGGCTCCATGCTTTCCAGCCAACTTTAATCTGCAAAAAATTCAAATGCACTGTCAATCGGTGTATACTGTCTACCTGATTGCTCGTTCCTCTTCCTTCTCATCTGTATAATAAACGCTAATGTCAATGTGTCACTGTGTCACGGTTTTTCAATTAAAGGGAAACAACTCGCTAATTTTCAATAGCTCATGTTGCAGAAATTTTGGATTCCCAAGTTTCCATTACTGCAATTGTTTTCGGTGATTTTTACGTGATTTTTTTCGATGAATTTTTTTTTTGTTTGTTTGCACGATAACAATTTTTATATCTTGGAAATAAATTTGGGAATTATCGAAATTAATTGCGAAAGTTGCTCATGAAATAAAAATAATTTTTTGTACGGAAAGTAAGGACCTACGCACATCAAATTGCCTTTAAATTAAGTGGCGGCAGAAGAATTATCGTTGAACTTTTAAAAGGTAACCTTAAATATTGATGCAATACTTAAATGCAGCAATCAATTTTGAGTTTTGTAGTTCATTGTTGACTATCGCTTACGGCAGCATTATACATCGCAAAAAGTAATTTCCGCCAACATAAGACCAGGTTGCAATCAAAAGAGTCAAGGCTGCAGCAAGGAAAAGAAAATCTAGTGCAAATGAGTACCCAGATCAAACGGCAGCCAGGAGACTGTCAAACTACTGAACAAGCCGAAGGCCTAATCAAGACCCTTCTGCAGGAGCTAGTTTAAATGGCGTCTGATAGGTTGGGTTATAAAATAGTTATTAATGTTTCTGTTTCTAATTATTCCATACCCTTGTGTCTTAGAGACTTTACTGTTTCGCATGGGGTGGTATTGATTAGAAACAAAGTAACTTTACATTATTTGGGGGTGAATTAACAGAAAAGATTCAAAAGGTTTTCCTTTTTATATTTTAAATGCTGTCTTCACGCCATTTCCTGGATCGATACACAACAGACATTTGCAACTCGACGCTTCTTACGAACGACGCGTCATTGTACTATATTTGCTATCTCACACGCTATTCTCTTTGCTATTCATTGACTGGAATACGCTTGGGTATCTGTTGCGCCGCCATTGAACTACGTTATGCCATACGACAAGAAAACATCTTCAAAATTCCAGCGTCCTCCTTAGTATTCTCATTATCTTTGGTACCGGAATTTGTGTTGCTTCGTTTTTATTTTTGATAAGAATTCTTGCTTCATTCTTTCCTGTAGGAAACACATAACACCCCAGGGTTCCAGCGATAATAAACACTATTTCTCATAATGATCATCAGCGGTATCGCCATTCTTATCTTTTTCTTTGCAATTTGTCTTCTCTCGATATGACGGTGTCGAGGCTAAATAAGTAAAGAAACAAATGTTTGTCTTGATAAGTTTATATAAAATGACGAAACGAAGACGTTTTCTCTGCTGTCGAATCTTTAGACTTCTGTCTTTTGTTACTGAAAATCACTTGCAGCCAGCTTAACTAAGCGTAGATAATACAACAATGCATTTAAATAGTCTCTTCCAAAATAATTCTATGAATATTCCCGCGACAATTTGCTTGCGAATGTTCTAAGATATATATGATTAATGCAAACATACACACACACACACATACATTACACCGAAAACATTTCAAAATCGCTACAAAATTACCTGGATATATATATATATATATATATATATATATATATACACACACACACACACATATATATATATATATATACACATACATACCTTTATATATATATATATATATATATATATATATATATATATATATATATGGAGAGAGAGAGATAATTTAGGATATTACACCGAAAATATGTCAAAATCGCTACACAATTACCTGGAAATATATATATATATATATATATATATATATATATATATATATGTATGTATGTATGTATGTATGTGTGTGTGTGTGTATACACACACACACACACACACACACACACACACACACACACACACACACACACATATATATATATATATATATATATATATATATATATATATATATATATATATATATATATATATATAGTGGGTCAGAAACTACTTACATAGGTTCTACTTATATAGATCTTCAAGTCAAACTCGTCAGAATCGCTACAGAAATACCTGGATATATATATATATATATATATATATATATATATATATATATATATATACACACGCACACACACATATACATATATATATATAGTGAGCCAGAAAGTACCTACGTAGGTTCCGCCGAAATGGATCTTCAAGGCAAACTCGTCTGCCAGTTTGCACTGAAGATCCATTTAGGTGAAACATAGGTAGGTAGTTTCTGGCTCACTAGAATTTTTTTTTATAATCTGCTCTGCTTAGTGCACTTTACTCTTTTTTTTATTTTACTCGATTGCCGTTTTTTTTTCATTTGACTAGGCATTGCGGTGTTAGGTGAATTTTTTCGACCAACTCGGATGTTTCTAGACTTTTCTTTTTATCAATTACTTTTCCCCAGATACCAATTTGTTTAAATATATTTTTTATTTGCAAATTGTACTATCCGGATTTTTTTACCAGTCATTGTATAGATATTAAAATAAACGTAATAATATATATATATATATATATATATATATATATATATATATATATATATATATTATAAATTAACTGATTTAAAATATGGTTTCGTCGCTACACAGGAATTACCATGTTCCATAAACATTAGTTATTCCAAAATTTGCTTGAAGATGAAAAAGAACTAATGCTTTTAATTTAATTATATAATTAAATTTGAAGTTTTTAGCTTCGGTTTTTACGAAATATTTTGTAATGCGTATAGATAATCCTAAGGAGGGTGTAATCCAGAGAGCTCAATGTAAAAACAGAGCTAATATTAGTTAAATTAAAAAGCAGACAAACTTAATGGACAATAGATTATATTTTATTTCCCCACGAATGTCATTTTTTTTCCTGCTTCCTCAGATCACATTTCCAAGCATAAAAGTAAATGGTTTAAACCATTTTCTTTTATGCTAGGAATCATTTAAAATGGTTCCAATGGTTTAAACCATGGATTAAATTATATTCTTTTATGCTTGAAAATGTGACCTAAGAACCAGGAAAAAATCCCATTCCTGGGGAAATAAAATATAATCTACGGACCCTTAAAGTTTTCTGTTTTTTTTAATTTAACTAATATTGTAATATTTAACTTGTTTGTATATATATATATATATATATATATATATATATATATATATATATATATATATAGTATATTATTATACATAGATATATATATATTATTATTATTATTATTATTATATATTATTATATGTACATAAATATATATATATTATATATATCTATAATATACATACATACATACATATATATATAAATATATATATATATCGTACTTATTATAAAACCCAGGTTGTGTGTGTGTGTGTGTGTGTGTCTGTACGTTTATATATTGGATCGGATTTCCTACATTTTTCAAACGATTTCAACAAAACTTCACAGGACTACGTAAAATTACCTTGTGGTGGTTCTGACAGAAATTGGAAAAACACAATTGTTTTGCACAAAATCAATTTGAAAACACGATTAAGAGGCATCACGAGAATGAAAGGGGGACAACTCATATCGAGTTATACTTATTATAAAACCCAGGGTGTGTGTATGTCTGTACGTTTATATATTGGATCGGATTTCCTACATTTTTCAACCGATTTTAACAAAACTTCACTTTTTTTTGGCAGGTAGTGTTTCTTATTGTCTTGCACACTTTTTTCTTTATTTTTACACTCAGAATGCTTTTAAAATTACATTTAGAAGACAATTGTTTATAATAAAATTCTATTCAATCGGTAGAGACTCATAACGATTGAAAACAATGTTTTTGTTTGAGTTTGGGTTTGACCAATTCGTAAAAAAACAAAAAAAAAAAACTAATTAAGACATGCGTGTCCGTCAACCTTAAACAATAATCTTTGTCAATTTTATTTTTCAGTCTTTATGATGGCCGATACTTGATCTATCTCTTACTGTTACATCCCTGGGCAACGCCGGGCTCTACTGCTAGTTATATATATAATTTTATAGCTATAATTTATTTAAGTAAATGCTCTGTTTTTTTTAATTAAACAGTATTATTTACATTTACCGGCCTGAATGTTCAAGAAATTTCGTAGAAAATATACGTTCTCCGACAGGAATCGAACCTGTAATCATCATTTGATCTGACGTACTGTTAACCCTTCAGCGTGTGGTTATCAAAGTTAGAATTACTGTTTATAAACACACACCTTTATATATATATATATATATATATATATATATATATATATATATATATATATATATATATATATATATAACTGTTTTTAAATTCGGGCTCATAAAAAGAGGCGCATTTGTAACTGTGTAATTTGTCGGGAGAATCGAGATTTAGATGTTATAAATTCGATGTGCCGAGACCTGTAAGGATACGGAGGTGCTGAATATCCGAGGAGACTTGCTCTCACTCCATCTCCAGCCATACCCACCAGACATCTTTTGGGAACATACAAATGTATGCAGCAATAGCATTAATTATTTGGACAAGTGGTATTTACACAAACCAGAATCTGTAGAAACAATACATGAAATTCTCTGGGCATTTTGATTAAAAAATGATGTCTCAGTCCAGGTTATATGCACGGACTTGCTAAAAGTAAGCAACAAGAATGATTCTGCGTGTTGTGTGATGGTTATCAGCGTGAAACATGGAACCAATCAGCCGAGTTCAAGTACTGGCCTGGTCGGTTGCGTTTACTTTGCACGAATGCCCTTGGAAAGAAAAGAATTAATTTCTTTTACCCCACCCAACTATGAGTTAAATAACAGGGTAGACTGGGACCTCTAGTCTTGAGTGGCAGACAATCTACGAAAAATCTGAGCTAAGAACTGTAGAGAATGCAACAGGGACCCGCTCAACACACTTTCATGAGGAATCTGTGAAAAGCCATGATCGGATTTGACATTTAAAATTTTTTTATGAAGCTACAAGGGAAAGTAAGATTATATTGTGTCGTCATCGAAATCTACTTTACAAATCCCCAATCGAAGTAGAATCGTTTACATAGAATCAAACAATATTTATATCAGCAAGAAATATATATATATATGTATGTATGTATGTATGTATGTATATAGCAAATAAGTGGTACAGTATCGTTCATACAAAAATTAAATTAATAAAGTTAATGATATAAAATGGCGAAATCCCTTGACTAACAAAATATTAAAGATGCATTAACCTACCAATCACTTGATGAATGTTATGATCCTTGTTTGTTTGTTTTTAATTAGAAGCTATATAAGGTCTTAAATACGCAAGTACTTTCGACTGTACATTCAATCATCTTCAGGGATGGAAACTATTTTGTTTTTTGTTAAAATTCAGGTAGCATCCGAGACGAAAAAATATAATGCGAATCGAAATATGTTTTTTTTTTTTTTTTTTTAAATATGTTATTGACAACGGATACAAACTTTTGGAGCGTGCAGTCGCAACGCTAAGGTCGAATTTTTTTGAAAATTTAAGAGAGTGCGTTTTTTTACTAATATGGAAATTTGAGAAAATTTTTTTGTAGGAGTTTATCAGTCAATGTGGCATGAACTAAATAGCTCAATAAATAGAGTAATGTCTCAGTTGTTATCCCGAAAATTTGCACGTCGGATCAGTTCTTTTGAATCAAATATATGGTGCAGTTCAATTTTTTAATGCAATGAATCATTGACACAAAATGTAAATTAATAAAGTTAATGATATAATATATAATATATATATATATATATAATATATATATATATATATATATATATATATATATATATATATATATATATATGCAGGATTGGCAGGAGCGTGCGAATACAAAACTGTCGATTGTTCCAAGTGTTTTCGGACACTTCTTTAGTCATTTCCAAGGGAGTTTTTTTTGATGTAGTTAGTTTATTTTCATGTTTTGATTGTGTGAGATGTATTATTAGTAAATTATATGATTTCGGAGCGTCGTGTGTTGGGCATGTCTAGAAATCGAGTGGGCGATTTTCTATTTTAAAAGATTTTCAGCACTTCATTATCATTGCTAAACTAGGTAAGGTTGATGGTGGAGGAGAACTGTTTGATGTACAGACCCTCCTTTTAATGAAGTGACCGAAAGCGCTTGGGACAATCGACGATATGGATCTTCTCTTGTCCGTCATATTTAAATATATATATATATATATATTGGGTCTACGAAGAATGAATTTAAAGCCAGATGGAGGCAGCATAAGTGCTCTTTCAACAATATAAATAAAAAAATCAGACTTCTCTATCTAAATATTTTTGGCATTTGAAGGAAATAAATAGGACACCTAAAGTAAAATGGAAAATTATAAACAGGACTAGAACTTGTAAAACTTGGGATGACCCTTGCCCTTTATGCCTCCATGAGAAACTGCACATTATTAAGTTTCTAAATAATAAAAATCTATTAAACAATAGACATGAGTTAACGGTTTTTTTGCCGACATCATTAAATTTTTGCATTGAATAATCAGCTTAAAAACGCGCATAAAATAATATAATTTTTATAATCAATAGCCCTAATAAATAGTTTGAATACCCTACAAAAATAGATAACCCTTTATAAAGTCGTCAAAAAACAAATGTTACGGCAGTTTTTATATACACAAAACCCATTCATAAAGAAATAAAATAATAAAAAAAAATCTCCATAGACACGTAAACCAGACTGGGCGAAAACATCTTCCGTTTTAAATTTAGACACCCCTACCTTACCCTGACTTGACATCTATGAATGTAACTCTATACTGATACAAATTATTAACACCAAACACCCCTTCCTATTTAAACAATCGCCCTGGCTGTTACCATGGAAATTTTGATTTCAATTATGAATATGCTATACACGTAAATTTCAGAAATAAGTTATTCCAAAAAAATTTCGCTTGAAGATGGAACAGAGCTTAGTACTTTAATTCAATTTAATTCAAATAATTATATTGAAGTTTTAGGCTCCTGTTTTGAAACATGAGACCTCTTATGTAGCGTGTTGGAATCATATTTTTAAATAAATAATTATATATATATATATATATATATATATATATATATATATATATATATATATATATACATTTGAACTAGTTTATTTACAACACACTTGTATATCATTATAATGGGGCCTCATCAGTGAAGGGGGCCGGTGTGCAACTGAAATCGTTGAGAGAAAGGCCCCGAAACGGTGAACATTCTCTCCTGATGACCCCAGTTTAAATATAAATTCGAGAGGAACACATCAAAAGAAATTCAGTGAAGTCATATGCCGTAGAGAAGCTCTGTATATATATATATATCAATGTCTCATAAAATAATTTGTCTACTTATTCTTAATAGGATAACTAACGCCTTTATCCACTGTAGGCGTTAGATCTAGTAACAGGACCCAAAGAATTGTGATTTCAATACCTGGTTAAGGTGGTGGAGAACTTGAAGAGGTGAATTAGCAGGAGATAACTGTTAACTGACATCCATTAGACATGTCACGTGGAACTAGAACAGTCTACCCCAGCGAGCGAAATAAAGGGTTCAGTTCGACATTTCAACCACCTGAAGAAGACCGAGCGTACCACGGCCGAAAACTTGTGGCAAATATGGAAACAAAGATGAGGATGATAGTCTGAGCAACGTAAATAGTGTACATAATACCTCACCTCATAAATATAGCCATATATATATATATATATATATATATATATATATATATATATATATATATATATCTTTTAAATTTATGATATATATAAATTATAAATTTATAATATATACATACATATATATAAATTATAAATATCATATATATAATATATATGTATATAATATATATATAATATAATATATATATAAATTATAAATTTATAATATACATAGTTTAAATTAGTAAATTTATTATATATATATATATATATATATATATATATATATATGACTTTTTTAAAAGTCACTCATTTTCTTCTTTAGTCACGAGAATTGTCGGTTTCGGGAAAAATGAACTACGATTTCAATCTTTAAACATATATACAAATAACCATATACGCTTTCAGATCTGAGGAAGCCTTAAATGGTGAAATGCATTATCGAATCTATTTCTAAACAAATCTACGTTCATGAACGTTTCCAATTTTCAGCCTTTAAAAACTTTGTCGGGATTATAGCGATTTTCCAAGCGTAGGTTTGATGTGGCACAATGCCGAAAGTAGGGGGCACCCAGTGTGGACTGAACTCACTCAACCGTAATTGTTCCAACGAAAATAAGCTTGTTAACCATTACACCACCACGTGTTGCCCCAAAATATAGCGTTTTTTCAAGCCTACCTTAGATGTGGCACAAGGCTGAAAGTAGGTGGGCATCCAGTAATGATCGAACTTACTACAACGTCGTAAATGATCTAGCTTGGCAAGCTTGCTAATCATTACATCGCCTAGGGGTGCCCAACTTTGTCGGGATTATATATCATAATTTTAAAACACACACACACACACACATGTATACATACATACTTATATATATATATATATATATATATATATATATATATATATATAAGTGGGCAGGTATGCAGAAAATAGAAAAGAACACGTTGGGTGCATAATCCGGAGTTCCTTATTTATTTTTATTTTTAAGAAGACAGTGCTCTATAAAGAAGTAGAGCTTATATTATATTTTTTTTGTTTAAAAATATGATTCCTTCGCTACATAAGAGTTCTCATGTTTCTATTCCTAAAATTTCGCTTTAAGATGAAACAGGACCAAACATCTTAATTTAACTTAATTTTAATAATTATTTGCATGGTTTCGGCTCTCGTTTTTGAAAAACATCAGAAGTAGCTTTGGTAGCAAGGAATCATATTTTTAAACAAAAGATATTTTATATATATATATATATATATATATATATATATATATAATAAAAAAAATAAATATATATATATATATATATTTTTATATATATATATATATATATATATATATATATTTTAATCCGATAAAGTGGTCGAATTTTGATAATGTTTAGACCGTTAGCATTCCTACCTTGAGAAACAGGTTCCAATATCACCGTGGTCGATTTGTCAAGGTGATGTTTTGATATTATCGTCCCTAACAAAAAAAAAGAAGCGAATCACGAGTTTACAAAAATGGAATAAAAATTTTCTAAAAAACTGTTGGGAAGACGTTGGCGGGTGTTTTAACGCGAAGTCACAAGTCTTCGTGACTGAGGGTTTGAGAGTTCTAGCCTTGTTCAACTGCTGGTCATGCTAGATTATGACTTCTTTCCCAGAATCTACCAACCCCCGTTTCGTTTCATTCTTTCCTCGTTTTATCTGTCCTCATTTTATTTCTTCTTGGAAATTTAGTTTCTCTTTAATAAAGAATTCTTAAGGTGAGTCGCATTTACAGTTTTCTCTTCATTTATCTCTTTACCCTTTCTTACTGTCATCTTTTTACTCATTCACTATCTACTTTCTTTTCTTTTCTTTTCTTTTCTCTCTTTTCTTTCTTTCTTTCTTTCTTTCTTTCTTTCTTTCCGATAGTGTCAGTCTATTTTCCTTCTCTTTCCCTTACCCTTTCCACAACGTTCTGTTTCTTCAACAACCAAAAAGAATCCATAGCTCTCTTTCTGTCTGTCTCTCTTTCTCAGACTTCCTTCTCAGAATATCTTTTTCAATCCAAACACCTTCTTTCTTACCCCCCCCTTTCTCTTTCTGATCTCTTTTTCTCACCCTTGTTACTCCCTACCCAACTCCCCTGTCATCATTCTCACACTTTCTTTCTTTCTTTCTATCTTTCTTTCTTTCTTTCTTTCTTTCTACTTTCTTTTTTAATCTTTCATTCTTGTCAAATCTATTTTCCTTCTCTTTCCCTTTCCATAACATTCTCTTTTCTTAGCCTAACTATCATGTTTCTCCCTCCTCCTCCTAGAAAATCCTTCCCTCCCCCTGGTCTCCCTCCCCCCCTCTCTCCAGCCTCCCTCCCTCTCTACTGTTACGGCTTTTTCTACTCTTTAATTCTGAATTCCTCTGTTTCTCCACAAATCTGTATATCTTTCTAGCTAATACCTTCCTGTCTCTGGGGACCTCGAGACAATTAATCGATAAGACAGAAGTTTTGCTAGAACGGTTAAAGACGATTATAAAAAAAAAATCCTCACTACAAAATTACTTTTTTTTAACCAACCCATCAAGAAAAACGCTTGGAAAATCGCTATACCTTTCCATCTCCTTTCTTTTTCACAAGTCTTAAGGCGTTTCATTCTTTGCAACTCATTCTTTTCAACCCTCTTCAGAAGCTTTCGTTCTTCTTTTCTCTGTCACAAGATCAAACTCTCTATGTGCCTGATATGAACCCCCCTATCTCTCTCTGTATTTCTTTTTCGATCTCCCTCCTCCAAGTTTTTCTTACCCTCTCTATTTTCAAGTTTTCCTTTCTTTAATTATTTTATTCGCCCGCCATTTTAACTTTTTTTTCTTTCCATCTGCTTGAACATTGTTTCTCCTACACCCGTCTTTTAAGCTTTCTTCTCGCTTACGTTTTTCCACACTTTTCCTTTATCCCCACACTCCTCTGTTTCTCTATTTCTATTTTTCCTACTCTTTAGTCTCTCTTTCCCTTCCCCTCATTCCTTCTTTCTCTTCTTCTTCGTTTATTTCTCCGTATTGCTCATTGTCTTAATTACTCCTGGAAACACGAGACGATAATTGAAATGAAATGTTAGCTACATCTAATGCTTGAGCTTTTTTTCTCTCGCTCCATTTTATCAAGAGGTGGGTGAATAATAATAAATAATAATAATAATAACAACAACAACAACAACAACAATAATAATAATAATAAAATAATAATAATAATGTGCTCCTTCAACTGAAAAAAAGTGTTTGAAGGAGACCAAATTCCAAATATTGTCAAAAGCAATATTATTATGATTAGTATGATTAATTACACCCCTAATCACTGGAGAATTGACGACTGTCATGGAATTCCTTTCGAGAAAATTGAAATAAAAAAAACGCTAATTAAAAACTAGAAAAAACTCAAACACATATGAAGACTGCAAGGAAACTAAGCAAAGGTACCAAAACACTGAAGAAAGTTGATGTCACTTAGCTTTCCAAATAATACACGTTAATGATATGAACGTATATATCAAGAAGTAATAATAATAATAATAATAATAATAATAATAATAATAATAATACAACATTGAGTTATGAAGAAAAAGATCCGAAAAATATTATAGGAGAGTGCGTTTGATAACTAGAAAGCGAACTAAATGGGGCCAGTAAAATGGAGGCTATCAACACCTTAGCCATACACGTAGTAAAATACAGCTTCAACATTCTTAAATGGAAGTTGAGTGACATTAAAAGATTGGACGCCAAGACCAGAAAAATGATTACCCGAATAAGAATGCGCCACCCAAAATCAGATGTTGATAGGCTGTACGTACTAAGAAGTTTAGGAGGCCGAGGTCTAATGCAACTTAAACCAACTCTAAAAACTACAACAATTGGATTGGAAGGATACTTCACAAAAACCAATGACCAAAAAAAGTAAAAAAAAAATCCAAATGTGTATACAAAAAAAGCAAATTTCAAGAAACAGCTTAATATACCTGAAACCCTACAAAAAAAAAAAAAAAAACTAAGAGAATACAATTTACGCCAAACGAGTAAAACAGAAAGCAAAACAACTTGGCCAAATGAAGTTAAAAAAAAAAACTCTGGAGGACAAGGCTTTGCATGACAAATACCTAAAAAGAACGAAAGAAGCAGACGTGGACCAATAGAAACACATCATTGGCTGAGGAGCACCGGGTTGAAAGCTGAGACAGGAGGCCTAATTATGGCAATTCAGGTCCAAAGTCTCGCAACCAGATCCAATCACTGTCACATAATCAAGGACAGAACTAACCCGAAATGCAATATCTGCGGAAAATATGATGAAACTGTCGACCATATTATCTTAGGATGTCCGGAACTGGCAAAAACTGAATATACTCACAGACATAACAAGGTAGCGACATATGTGCATTGGAAGATATGCAAGAAGCACAAAATCGAAACCACTGAGAGATGATATAAGCACCAACTAGACACAGTTACCCAAAATAACGATGTTAACTATCCTCTGGGACCTGCCAATTCAAACTGACAGGGAAATAAAAGCCAACAGACCTGATATTATCATAAAAGACAAGAAATTCAAGTAGTGTGTGCTCATGGACATAAAAGTAGTGCAGCTCGAGACTAACAGGATGTGGGGAATGAAGACTGAGGCTGTACCAATAGTGTTGAGGGGTCCACCCCTTTTTACAAAAATGGACTCACCCAGTATATACATCTACTACGGCTACGTGAAAACCCGGGAAAACAAGACCAAAGAGTCGAGTCGAGTCCAGAGTGACAGAGTAAAAGGTTGTAGGTAACCGGAAGAGTGAGGGTGAGGTAACAGCGTTGTACGAGTCACAGTGAGCGAGCACGTAGACTGAGTAAGAAGTCATACAGCGATACTTCAATACCAAAGACTGTATATATATTTTGCTACTAACACGTATTCCTGGAACTACTAACTTGCATTACCAGTTTGTATTATTACCTTAATATATTATTTTCCTATATTCATTCTTGGCGTTTGTTATTTATTGGTACCGGATTTCAACCCGGAATCCACAACAAATAGTAATTGGACCTTTGGTCCTTGTGAGAAAAGGAATAAACAATTTTACTAACAGTGTCCATGGTAACATTAACATACAAGTTGCCCAGAAGATCGCCCTACTAAGAACATCCCATATACTAAGAAAACTGAAATCAGTTAAATGACAATTCTCCTATAGGGGACAAGAACCACAGTTTGGACCCGGCTCTACAGGATACAAAGCAGAAAACATAACATACACAAATAATAATAATAATTAAATAACTATAACATGTCTGCCCACCATATATAAATTGATCACATCTGTCCTGACAAACTGTACTTCTTTTCTCGATGAAAACAACATTCTTCCTTTGGAACAGAAGAGGTTCATATGGTTGCAAATATCAACTGCTAATAAACAAAATGATCGTGGAAAATTGCAGGAAAAAAGGTAGAAATCTCAGTACAGCTTAGATAGATTACTGTAAAGCCTTTGATATTGTGCCACATTCTTGGGTGCTTAAGCCTTTGGAAATGTACCAAGTCTCCTCGGTGATAGTAAATTTCTTTAAACATAGCATGAAACTGTGGAAAACAAAATTATACCGAAATCATACCAAAGGTACCACCATTTCCAGTTGTTTGAATATCTAACAAGGAATCTTTCAAGGAGATTCCCTGCCCCCCCTTCTGTTTTGTCTGTCCTTCATTCCCCTTTCACATGAACTAAACAGTAATAACTATGGATAAAAAGTAAAAAAGAAAGTGTTTAATTATCTATTTTACATGGATGATATCAAACTCTTTGCCAAATACGACAATGAATTGAAAGATATCCTCAATACGTTAAAATGTTTTAGCGATGACATCGTTATGGATTTCGGATTAGATAAATGTGCAAAAAGTAACATTCAAGAAAGGGAGAACACATTGAATAGATTTAGATTTTGTCACAAAGATTAGGGGACTGGAACAAGAAGAAACCTATAAATACCTAGGAGTCAGTGAAGGAGATGAAATACAGCATACCCAAATGATGGAGAAATTAAGAAAAGAAGAAAAGGCGTGTGCGTCTGAGGTTACATACTGACTTGAATTCCCAAAACAGAATATCAGCCATAAACACTTTGGCTGTCCCTTGTCGTGCAATACCGTTTCAACATCTTTAATTGGATCATAGTTGACATTAAGCGAATGGATGACAAAACGAGAAAGCTTATCACTTGTTACTGCATGCATCATCTTAAGGCTCATGTTGATTGTCTGCATGTTCCCAAATCCGAAGGAGGCAGAGGATTAGTTCAACTAGGACTCGCTTACAAAACCACAACATTCGGTCTTCAAAGATACCTGTAAACTACAGAAGAGTGGATGATGATCTGTGTCAAAGAACATGAAAGATATCAGAAACTTTATTCCGTAATAAAGAACGCCAACAAATTCAAAGGGGTGAAGAAGTGCAAATAAACCATAATACACCTATTGCAGCGGCAAAGAAGCTAAAAACGAAGGCAAAAGCAAATGCAATGTACCAAATGCAGAAACGATGGCAAGAATCCTCATGTTCATTACTCTACACCTACCAAACAAGCTGATATAGACAAACCCAGTATCCATTAAAGTTTACGTAGTGCGTGGTTAAAAGCTGAAGTTGAAGGTTTTATTCTTGATGTATAGGACCTATGCTTGCTAACTAGAAATTACCAAGCACACACACTGATAAATTGTGTTAGCCCCAAATTCAGATGGTGTGATGAATACCCAGAAACAATGGACCATCTGTTATGAGGTTGCATAGTATTGGCACACACTGAATTTTATAAAACCAGTCACGACAGTGGGCCAATATCTGCATTGGAATATCTGCAACCTTTACAGAAAAGAGACTGCAAAAAAAAATGGTATGAACATGGGATTTTACAATACACAGAGACAGAACAATCAAAGTTAATTGCCCCAGACATTTTGATCAAGGGCCACAAGAACTGAATGTGCTTTCTTATTGACAGAGAGTGAGAAGAAAGGACTAAGCATAAACTACAATACAGAATTCAAGGTCCTCAGTAAAAGGGTGAGACCAAAATGAGATCTGAAGTTCGGGAATACTAGAATCAAGCAGACGCCTAACCTGGGAAGCGTCTTGACAGAGGACGGTAAGGGAGACTCTGAGGTACGTAAGCGTATTGGGATGGCCAAGGACACATTTCAAAAGCTGGGCAGAATACTGCGAGACAGAAGGATATCTTTGGTAACAAAGAAAAGAATACTGAACTGTTACGTGATATCTGTCCTTCTTTACGGTAGCGAATGTTGGACGAATTCCTCAAAGATGAAGAAGGCGACAGAGATGTGTTTCTAAGAATATCATGGACTGAGCGTGTGAGCAACGATGAAGTCTTAACTGAGGTTGCAAACAAGGAGGAGACTTATACTTAATATCAGCAAAAGGCAGCTGAAAAATCTTTCTTGAAGATTTGACTTTAGTTTGAATTTCAAGTTGAGAGATTAAATTTAGCAAGGGGGAGGCTTATAGTTAACACCAGGAAGAGCCAGCTGAAGTTTCTAGGAAACATAATGAGGAAGGAAGGCTTGGAGAATCTGTTACTCACGGGAAAGAGAGACAAGGCAAAACAAATCGTGACTTACATGGCGGACTTAAGCAAGTGGATGACAGAACGTGGTCTGGGGGAGGAAGCAGAGGGAAAGAACTTGTTGAGAGCTGCAAGGGATAGAAGGAGGGGGAGAGCCATGATCGCCTACGTCCTGAAAGGGCATGACATATAAAAAGAAAAG